AGGGAGGAAGGACACACACACACACCCACCCCCGGAGGGCTAATTGGCTAGTTATTTATAATGAGAGGTGAAACCAAGGGAGCCAGCTCCCAGAGTCAGTGCTTAGCGCGTGCTCCTGAGCAACACCTCTTCAAACTCCTCCCTCTGCTACAGCCATGTGTGTGGTGTAGGCGAGGCTGGCACCTAATGTGTTCCTGCAACAAATGCCTGTAGCTCAGAAGCCCCTGACTTGCACAGTTCACTGGGCAACAGCAGCCCAGACTATGGCCTCTAGTTGTGGGGGAGGATGTAGGATGCTCTCCTGTCACTGGCTAGTTTAGGACCCTCTGCACCTAGAAAGCTGGCTTTGGCTGACCCTCTGCATCCACTTAAGGCACCCACCTCTTTCCTATTCAGCGTCTAGAGCCTGGTTGCTTAACTAGGACTTCAGAGGTTGGGGCCTGTGACTTTTCGCACCTAATAGTTGGGTGGCATAATGCTCAGCACTGCAAGGCCTAAGTCCCTCTGTACATCTGGGCCAGAATGTTTGGGAAGCTCCTTGCCCCCTTCAATTGCAGCCTGGGGGGGGAGAGCGAGCACCATTGGCCTTCCCTGCAGGGAAAATAGGGGCTTATCTGTGGGTAGCAGCCATGGGACTCAGCACTGATTTTTTTTTTTTTTAATGGTCAGGTGGAGCACTGGATGTACCGCAGACTGCCCTGCATATGTACCTATTCTACAGGCCTCCAAGATGTGGCTCTGAGGCAGGAAATCGCTGCTTAATGTTTCATCGAGACTCCCTCTGTCTCACCCTGAGCACAGATTATTCCTGGGTTTGTACATGTACTGGCAAGAGATCTAGAGGTCCTCTTGGAATAGAGGCACTGATCTTCCCGCCAAGCACAGGTGCACATGTCCTAAAGGGAAGGTGTAGATATTTAGGTTTTTCTTTTTTTAACCAATGACTACAGGGAGTTCTGGGGCAAAGCACAGGAGTTAGGCACTGCTTGTCTTATTTTATAGCATTCTTATCTTTTAATTAAATGGATTAAAATTGGCTAGCTAATAGGTTTCAAAATGTAATTGTACATGGGAATCATGTTTCCTGTGGGGATCCATTCTTGGACCTATACTATGCAACATTTTTTTTAATCAATGACCTGTAAGAAAACCATCACAATGAAGTGTACAGAGATCCAATTACAGAAGTGGGAAATAATGCAGAGGACAGATCACTGACTCAGAGTGATCTCGATTGGTAAGCTGAACACAATAAACTGTTATAGTGTAATGAAGTGTAAATGGAAGCAGTGAGGAACACTGAGTGCAGGCTGCACATTACGTGGGAAGCAGGGACTCTGACAAAGATGGGCTGTGGGGGTAGAAAATCAGTTGAATGTGAGCTTTCAGTTTGATGCAGGGGCCAAATGAGCAAATGTTATCCTGGGATACATACATGGGAATTGTGAATAGGAGCAGAGACTGATTTTTTT